CAGCATCACCAATGAACAGCAGCTTACCCAGGACCAGAACCCTTTTCCTCTATTCCATTTATTTTTTTAATCTGTGAAGATGGTGATACAAAGTTACTAATGCGGTAAGGGACAGGGGAGATGAAGTCAAACTACTTCTTGTGAGTGTTTTGGTATCTGAGCAACATGAGTTGCAAGAACAAAAGCGAGATGTGGCAGCTTGTGTTGTGTTCACCACCGGCAACAGGCCAAGSAGAACAGGAAGGGAAGGGAGGGGAATGCAAAGTCCAATTTCACTTACTAATATGCAGCTACAATGATACAGAAAGAGGCAGAGTCTTGCCAAGACAAGGCAAGTTTACAGAACACACCTTCTCACTGTGATTCAAGCCTGCCAGTGAGCATGAAACACCCTGCTCAAAAAGCTTCCAACTTCTGCAGATAGGAATTGTGCTTTTGTCCATCCGCAGAGCTCAGTATTCAGCTAAAGGAAGTGGCCACCACAGACCCTGGACCAGACAACGCTACGAAGAGGCAGTTTGATGTTCCTGATCACTAGTAGAAGCTGCTTCAACTGGCAAAGAAAGAAAAGAAAAAGAAAAAAAGAGTCAAAATTGAAGAAGAGAATGCATTTTGCCAGGCTGAAGGACTTCAGTCATGGTGGAAAACTGATGGTAAGAGAAGACTGCCTCACCTGTGCCCCAGACTCCATGCCAAGACTAGCTCAGACAGAGGTTATGAATCTCATGGTAAAATTAAAAGCAAAGTCCTCTGGATTTTATTACACCAGAAATTAGATTTCATGCCCTGCTGTTGTATGAGATATTGCATTTATAGATCGCAGAGCAAGACCTTTTGGCCATTATCCACATTTTATAGAGAAGAAAAAGTGCAGAGGTTGGGACATAAGGGTCACACTTTCAAGTCACAGGATACTGACAGAATTGGGGAAAAAATACAAGTTTCCTGAGCTCTGCCCCTCTGCTCTCTGCACTTAGACGTCCTCACACAAGRGAAAGGCTCCCTTGAGGTCTTGGTAGCTAGAAATACTGCAAACTTGTAATCAAGAATTAATCAAGAATCAATCTGGTTGATCCTACTTTTGTGTCAAGAGTTCGTTGTTTTCCAARTTGTTGTTCATTGTTTTCCTTTGAATCGGAGTAAACTCGCTTCTGCCCACATCTGAACGAAACAATACTGAGCATTCAAAGCTCTCCCAAAAAAAGAATTGCCTCTACCACCAGAAAAACACTTTGAACAGYGTGTTAGTCCAATAAATAAAGGCAGATTATCTCGATGGCTAAGGGTTCTCTTTGCTGGGTGATACTGGTTAAACCTTCCAAATTAAGCAAACATTACACATTGATCTGGCATCTTGGTGGAGGTGGGAACTGATGCTATGGCTTACCTAGATTTAAATGAGTTTGAGCACCGCACTACCAAGATGCTGCTGGAAAGTGTTTTGCACTTTGAATTGATCAGGGTGATATTTTGCTCCTTTACTCTCCTGATCAACTCTTCTCCATGTCCCTGCTTTGGAGGCTCAAAATCAATTAAGAGAGTCTGTGTTTTCACATTGGCTAGTCTAGTCCTTACAGTCACATTAATAAAAAGTACTTTGTGGTATCTTCAACATTTCAGTAACAACAAAATTAAATCCAGAAGAGACTAGTCTAGTCTAGTCTAGTCTAATCTAATCTAATCTTCTGAAAAAAGAATCTAGAGTTTCACCTTGTCCCCTCGACATCTTCTGTCTGCCATCATTACACAGCAATGTAGTATAGTAAGGGCAGAGTTTTCCAACAGATGTGCCTAAGACATGTGAGTGAGTCAGCTACCAGAGGTACCCATGTCCACCCAGTAAACAGAAAAGGAGCCTTAGAGATTTGCTTAGCCTAAATAGCTCACATGAAGCCTTATGAGCTCAATTCAACCTCAAGAGCTATATATCTAATGTTAGRGGAGAAGAACGCACAAACTGAGGACTCAGAGAGAATATATTGATAAATATATGAGCCAACATAGGAGAAAACTAGCAGAGCAATATTTATCACAGTCCTAATGTAGGGCTGTTGCTAAAAGCTACAGTCTCCATCGACTTGCAGAGACAAGTTCATCCCTACTTTGAGTGATAAACTCACTTGTGGAACACTTAACTGGCTCCTTTGCTTCAGATCTACACAGAAAAAAAAAAAATAAAAAATGCTAAGACAGATTCCACTGCGATGTGTGGGTGATGGACTTTTCCTCCTGGCCAGGAAAATATGATGCCAGTTTTTCAGCRTCTTGGCACTGTGCTACTGGTCACCTCCCAGACAGGCAGAGCGGCTGCCTGAATCACCGTCAGCTAGCACTAAGAAAAGGATAAAATTAGCTTAGCTATTAGTGGAAATGTTTGGCTAACAAGTAGGACAGCATGATATTTTCGCCTAACACTGGATGGAACCATAGCCAGAGCTATGGCCTAGCTGCTAGTCGGAATGTAAATATTGTATGGGTAAAATTGATGGCTTTGTCCAAACTCAAAGGGAACATTTGATCCAGTGAAAAGCAGAGAGCTTCTGTGGAGGTCGCCCCGCACGCAGGACACTGCAGCCAGGCCGCGTGCGTGTCCRTGTGTCACTCGCTTTTGCCGAGTCCTCCCGCCCTGTGGTGCCGAGTTCCTTTCGGGTGACAACATGTGCAAAAGCATGTGCCAAGTGACATTTTTTCAGTGCTGGTCCAGCCCAACTATTATCTGGCAGAGTGACCGCAACCTCTTGCAGTAGAAGAAGGTCAGCACAAGCGGGGCCAGGCATCCAGCTCATGTCCTCATCCCGCGCCTTCCATGCAGGCGATTCCTGCTGGCTCCGGGGCTTTCCTTCTGGGGTGGTGGGTTACAAGACCTCTCCGTGGCCGCAAAGCAGGAGCTTACGCCTCCTGTATCCACCTGAAGTGAAGCTCTGCAGTCACTCAGGGACGTGACCGGGCACGGAGGCAAATGGAGGGACGGGGAGCGCGGTGGAGGCAAATGGCGGGACGGGGAGTGCGGTGGAAGCGGCAGGGCGGAGGCCAAGGGCTGCCACGGCTCCGGGCACACACTGAGGCGGCAGCAGCAGCAGCTTTTAGCGCCGGGAGCGTGGGGAGGCTGTGCCAGGGCCGCAATGGCTGCGGGAGGCGGCGCAGGCTGAGTCACGGGCTGAGTCACGGCCGGCCCCRCCAGGCCCCTCTCCTTTTCCCAAGCAAGGAAGCAGCGAGTGCCCACGAACGGCTTTTAAGGTTTGGATTCTGAGYATTCCCGCACGAAGCGGCCGCTCTGGCGCTGTGCAGGGCCCTCCACGCAGCGCAGCCCAGCGGGAGGCCGAGTCCTCCAACGCGCAGGGCATCCCAAGGGAGCAACCCGGGGCCTGGGCATCTCCAGGGCAGGGGGAGGCTGCTCATCCCAGGCCCGCTGTGCCCTGGGCGGCCTAACACTTGTCTCTGTCAGGAAGGGAGGCAAGGGGAAACCTCAGGCTCCGAGGTTTCCATCCTGGCATCGCCCTGCTCAGGAGAAGCGCCAGGATGCCGCTCACGGTCCTGCCACCCCTTGGGAAGAGCAGACCGCATGGCCTGGCTTTGTACCCGCAGWGTGGGCAGATGTTCACACTGTCCACAGTGTGAGACGCAGGAATTCAGGAGAGAAAAGAGGGAAAAGGGGCTAAAACCCCATCCTGACTCCGGTACAATGAATGAAAACCAGCAATTAAAAATAACGCTGCTAACTAACAGAAGAAAGGGAAAATAAATAGTGAAGAGTATATTCGAGAAGCTTTAAAGAACAGAAAAAAAAATGACACAGGAAATGGAAAAAAAAACGGCATTGGCTAAAGCTAAGGATAATAAAAGGGAGTTTTTAGAGTCCATTAGGAACACAAAAAATCTTTATAATGTTATAGGCCAAGAAGTAGATGGGGAAAACATTAGCAGCAATCCAAGCAGTCAGAAGTCTGTAAATGTTTTTCTTCTCTTTTAGGAAGCAATGTACTCTGCAATTCTTGAGTAATCTCAAAGGGGGATCAGCATTTCGGAGAGACACTTAACAGCAAAAGTACATGTGTCCTGGAGCAGTGAACAAGATACTGCAGAATAYTGCTCTCCCGGTGTTAGTATATAATAAACTTTGAATATTGAGGGAACGCTGGAGGCCAGAAGAAYGTGGGCACCGTGGGAATGTCACCCTCCAGCAGGAGCAAGGGTTTCCTTGGTGCAGTAACACTGTAAATGCAATGAATTGAGGGTGGACAAAACGCTTCTTTTGCATTGCACTGCAAGCATCATTTGCATTGCAAGATGGGAACTACGCAGTACATCTAACACCCTTTCCTGGGGGTGGCAGAGCTACACACGTCTCCAAAAGCAGTCACGGTTTTCGAGCAGGAGCGCACGGGACCGACACTCTGCTCCCTGCCATTGATTTGCACTAACGATCTAGAGGTCGATATGAAATCACGCTGAGAAAAGCTGCAGGGACCATAAAGAATTTCAGAGGCTGCGTCCCTGGCACCAGCAAGCGGGTTCTTGGATAACTGGTGAGCGGAAGGAAAAGCTCCTAAGGGACCAGGGGCACCCAGCCTGCGGCTCTGTCCAAGGGCACTTGCAAAGGGTAAACACCTAGCAAGAAAATGCGCTTTTCAGACAGCTGAGGAAGGCGCAGCGGGCACCAGTGCTTGGGAATAAGGCTGAAATTAAAAATAACGTGCGGCAGGGGATAACGGGTCACGGCAGGGAACGAGCAGGGCAGCGGCCCGCGGCGGGGAGCGGAGGGGCCGCGAGGGGACCGGCCCCGGCCGCGCGACCCCTGGCGGGCGCGGAGGCGGCGCCGAGGAGGCCTCCCGGCCACCGTCGCTACACAGGCAACCAGGCAGGCGGGGCGGCCGCTTCCGCCTCGGTAGCCGTCATGGCGGCGCCCGCCTCGCCGCCGTCTCTATGGTAGCTCTCCCGGCGGCGGTTCCGCGGGGCGTGTCCGTGCGTGGCGCGCGGTGCCTTGTGGGCGCTCGGCGGGGTTATGGTGGCGGAGTGAGGCCTGGTCGCGCAGCGCGGGCGGGCGCCGCGGGGTGAGAGGGCGATGGGGCCGGGGCCGGGGCCGGGGCCGGGGCCGGGGCCGGGGGGCTCAGCGGCTCAGCGGGATGGCCGCCCGCCCGCCCGCAGGCCTAGAGTTGCTGCTCCGGAAAGCAGCGCGGTGCAGAGGGCCGAGCGGGGGCCTGGCAGGCCGAGTCCAGCGCAGGCGGACCCCAGCAGGGGCCTCTCGGAGCAGGGCCGAGATCCGGGCGCTGTTACTGTTGCCGAGGCCAGGGCGGATCTGCCCGTGCAGCCGGGCAGGGGCTGGCGCGTCCCCGCGGCGCCCCGTGCTGGGTGCCAGTGGGTGTCGAGAACAAGCGGCTCTCTCGGCTTACGGCTCTGGAGCTGCCGGGGCTGGGAGGGAGCTGGTGAGGCCCGGGGCGTTCTGAGCAAATAATCCCTGTTTGTGGTATCAACAATGTATAAAATGGTACCTTCTTGTCTTTAGTGCTTGTTAAAGTGGTCTGTTGTCCTATATCATGTTTATTATCAGCCTTCCACAAGGCTGGCACCAGTGGGTGTTKCTGTGCGTGTCCCGGGTGCCCTTGGACTGGAGCTGTTGGAGGTGCCTGCCCTGGTGGATCTGGGTGCCCTTAGATGAGCCCTGGGGTTGCAGCTTTCCTGGCCCACCAGGAGTTCTTGGCGCAYGGATTAGGGCTGCACACGGAGGGTCCGGCTCCTGCACGGCCGCTTTGGGCACAGTGCACAAGGACAGGGACCCCACGTGTGGCAGAGGCTGCTCGCGGCCTGACTTGCTCCTTTGCCACAGAAGATTTGCCAGCAATTCCTGACATCAGTTATTTCATTTTTAGGCATGTGCTGGTGGCATGTGAGGGGTTTTGTTTGTTTTCACTGTTAATGTGGGGCAGYGCATAAGTCGGTGCCAGAGGGCAGTGCTGCTCCCCTGGTGTCCGTGCAGGGCCASGAGAAGGGCTGGAGCACTCCGGACCTGTCATTGTCCTCGTCTCATTGTCACCACGAGGTCCATGTCGGGCAGCGTTTGCGGTGCTGACACCCAGATACAGTTTGGATGGGAGCAGAGGGGCTCTTTGCAGCAGCACCGTGGGCAAGGCTGATGTCGGGGGAGAGGAAGGAGTTTAATTACACAGCTCAAAGCTGTGCCGCTGCCTGCAGGACAGGAGAGAACAGCCCATGGCCTGCTTTTTACCTCCATAAACAAAACCTCACAGATTCTCCCAGTGCTTCAGCTTTCACAAAAGCATTGCAGAAATTTTTCRTTCTTAAAAAAAATGGAGGTTCTGTCTGTCCTGTGCCAGCTGCTGGCTTGTGTTGTGTAGTGGGTCCGGCTGCTGCTGCTGCRGTTCCAGGAACGAGGCAGCTGCCAGTCAGTGTCCTTCATCACAATTTGCAGTAATGACCCATTTTTGCTTTTGCTTCTGCAGTAGTCAAAATGACCACAGCAGCAAGGCCAACATTTGAACCTGCAAGAGGAGGAAGAGGAAAAGGAGAAGGAGACTTAAGTCAGCTATCCAAGCAATATTCCAGCAGAGATCTTCCTTCTCATACAAAAATCAAATATAGGTAAGCTTTTCTTTTCAAAAATATAGGCAAATTTTGCTTTTCAGTCTTCCTTTTTGCAGAACAGACTGGGAAAGGCTATTCTGTTGCAAATGCTGCTCTGAGATTTTTCACTGTAGATGTCCCTGTTAACAAAGTGTTAAAGTATTTGTGGGTGCCAGAAGAGGAAACTGTTTTAGTCAGTATGAGACATAATGGGATCTTGTATGAATATTCTTCTCTGTTTCAAGTATATAATAAATTTTACTTATCATTTTAGGAATTTAATTGAAATTTTGAATTGATGTGATACAGACATGTAGGTTTTAGAAGAGATGTGGCAGCTGGAAATGTTCTTTAAACAGCTGGYCTTATTCTTGTCAATGAAACTACTTGTAAAGGTTTTACATTTCTATGTTCTGTGTGCTGATATTTTTCCTCATCCCTCTCCTTTTTTGGCATGACTAAGAATTGCAGTGTTTTGGAGAATATCCAAAAAACAGCACAAAAATGTTGTCAAATGCTAGTTCATTAGTATGAAAAAAAATTGCTGGTGTCCTTTTGGGGACATGGGGGGCCACCAAGTGCTTTGAGAGAAGTGGAGAGAAATATATAGATAAATATGCAGGAAAATACAGTGTCTRTGTCAACAAATCCCTTTACTTGGAGGTAGCGCGGGAGTTCAGTGTTGTCTGTTCTTCTCCCAAGTACCTGATGCAAAATTACCCGTGTTAAATAGTCAGAACAGTGTGACTTCGCAGGAAAGATTCATTATTTCAGTGCCTCTCATGCTTGCCTGGATGACACAGAGCTTTGGAGCATGGCTGCAGCTAAACTGTGGATTCCACATTCAGGTTTTTAATTACAAGAGCAAGTGAAATACTTCATTATAAAGACAGGCGGTGCACACGATGTATTTAGAGTAGCTCGAGTCTGGGTTTCTTCCAGGCACACTTATTTCCAGAGTTAGGTTCACTGAAAGGTGAAAGGAATTGCTTATTTTTATTCTTAGTGTGACTCAAATATAAATAGYCTGTTGGTTTTGGCCAGTGTGTCTTATATAAAGCGGAAAAATATGTACTTATAATGTGTTTCACTTTAGCTAGTGTTTTCATTGGTCCCCTCAATGGTTTTTGTTTCTTTATTTTAAGAGGTATGGGACATTTTAAGATGTATGGGACATTATCTGATGTATCTCTTGGGGAAAGTTTTAAGAAAAATGTGCTCCGGTTTTGGTCTGATCTGTAAGCTCTCAGAAACCTGGTGCATGCAGCAGTTGCTTGGTGTGGTGCAACTGTGAGAAGAAAGGTGGCTTGAAGGCTGGTRTGTGTTGATAGGACACTTGGCCTGGGGCTCCTGCAGAATAGCAGAAGACTTATCAATATCTTGTAGATATTTCTATAATCGTCTTGTTTTTCCAGGAGTTAATGCAGGGTTTTTAAGTTAATTTGAGAGCCCCTGTAAAGAGGGAGACTTGCATACGATTAAATGCATTGCATGTAATACATACAGAGCAAGGAAATGATAATGTGAAGAAATGTATGGCTGCATGGTACCACATCTTATTCTCACCTGTTTATCCCAAGATGCTACTTGAAAACTGTCAACTTCAGCCTTTTTTTTTTTTTTTTTTTTAACCTCCTTATGTCATTGTAGGCAGGCCACACAGGATGCTCCGGAGGAGCTTCGCAACCGTGACTTCAGAAGGGAGCTGGAGGAGAGAGAACGGGTTGCTGCCAGAGAGAAGAACAGAGACAGACCGAACAGAGGTAAAAATAAAACTCTTGATTCTTTGTTAGAGACTTGATGCCTTTGTGTGGCGTTACTCGAACAGGGAATTCAGCRTTGTGAGAAATTTGCAGGTTGCTGGCAGCGTGTCCTGTGGGGAAAATGAGGCGGTTGGGTCTGAATGTTGGGGGTGGTTGAGCTGCCCAGGAATGTCTGCTGGCTTCGTGCTAGCTAAAATGTAGGTCAGCCCTTTGAAAAGCACAGGCCATGAGGCAGGCCAGCTGATAGCCTGGGACTGAAATGAACTGGCAGCAAATACCTACAGTTAATAAAGGGCTTTTTTGTACTTGAACAAATGAGATGGGAGGGAGAAGGGGAGTGACTCCTGTTCTGCTSTTGCAGCAGCAGGGGAACTGTAAGCCACCTGTTAAAGGATGTGATGCTGTTCAGGTACAGTCCAGTGATCAACTGAAACGGCAGTCAAAACGTTAATTAAGAAATAGTCATTTTTAATATTAAGGTTGCCAGAATTTAAGTAGTTCTTTTAGGTTAGAATATGTGAAGCTTGCATAGATTTTAGGGAGCTCCTGAATTTACAGGCCAAGGCAGATGTCATTTGAATTGAAACTAATGCAGCAGTATTGCTTTGGGGTAGCCCATGAAGGGAATGCTCCACTCGGATGTTTGGATATGTAGAAAGGGGTTAGTTCTCTAAAGTTTCTTCTGCTGTTCTTTTTGTCTSGAAATAGTAACTTAAAAAAACTTAGAGGACAAATTTTGAGTTTGGAGTAGTTAGTGCTTTCCTTGAGGGTATCTCCAAGGGAGGAATTAGTGTGGGCATTAAGATTAAGAGATGACTGAAAACAGAACATAATTCACATCCATTAGTCAAAAGTAGGGTAAAGTTCTAGGGTTTCTCCTTTTTTTTTTTGACATCAGATGCTGTAAAATGAAGTGACTTATTCTCTATTTTAAATCTTATTCCTTAGAACATACAACATCATCCTCTGTGTCCAAGAAGCCTCGGCTAGATCAAATTCCTGCTGCAAATCTTGATGCTGATGATCCACTTACAGATGTATGAGGTTTTTGTTTGTCTGTTTTCAGTCTTCTGTCCTGTCCTTCTCCTGCTTTAGGAGAAGGCAAGTCTTGTTTATTTACTGTTAATAGGATATTTTCAGGTGTGTTAAAGATTGAAGACAGGTAATTGCTCCCTGGTCCCAGCCCGTCTTTTGTCTTCAGTTACTCTAACCTGGTGGGAATACCATTCTCTAATGGTTTCCTTAGAAAGGGGCATACGTGCTTTGACTGCTAGCACATAAAGAAATACTACTTTGAACTTAGAAATTCAAAATAGTACTTTAAGGATGTGGAAAGAGTGACTTCTTCGACTCAATGAGCCACCAAATTGGCTACAATTCCCCAGAGCTGTTCATATGCACTGAAGGCCTGCATAAGCAAAAYGGATTCTTGCTTTTCGTTCCTCTCCTTATACTCCATCTGGCACCTGAGTCCAGTGCTTGACCCTAGGCTGAGTGTGTTTTATTTGTTTGTTTCTTGATCTTATATTTGGTCCCATCACTGCTGGAGGTGTTCGGTGTTGAGGCACACTAGTGTGGTGGCTTAGGTCACAATGATTAGAGTGGTTAAGGACAGCCACTTTCTGGAATCTGTCAGYACATCTGCTCAGTTATAAATATTGAATTGCAGTCAGCCAAATAAGGAAAAACTCGTGCCTTGTGTCTTGCATTTACTTTATAAAAACAAATAAACCATTTTTATTGATTTCTGAAGGATTTAGATGCTTGCAGTAACAGCAAATGCAACCAGCAGCCTTCAGCTGGGCAGACCAGGAAGGATTTTGTTGATTTTTGGCTTGTTTACTTGTTTCTTTGTTTGGATAAGCAATATGTCTCAGTAATTTGCAGAATTAAAAGCTAGTTTTACTAAATTAATGAGCAGCTTTCTTTTTCCTTTTGTTAGGAAGATGATGAAGATGAAGATCTGGAAGACAGCGATGATGATGACACTGCAGCTCTTCTGGCTGAACTAGAAAAAATCAAGAAAGAGCGAGCTGAGGAACAGGCTCGAAAGGTAAAATCTCACCAACGAGAGGGCAGTTGTATTTCTGCAGGCCTGTTTGTTGGCACTGCTGTGCCAGAGGTGCCTGGGAGCAGAGAGAGCTCCAGGGCTGCCCCTTCTCCTTTGGAGAGACCCTGTCAGACACGTCAGGGCACTGGTGCTTTTGCTTAGGGCTGTGCGCTCTACTCAAATATTGCTCTTTTAATAGCATTGATGCTGTGTTGTCTTAGGAGGGATTAGCACCTGTAACTGCTAAGACCAGAGTTATCCTGATGTGGCTGTTCACAGGCAGGTTTTTTTGAAAAATGTCTTATCAAAACAAATGACAAATGTGGCAATGAGTCTTTCAGAGTGTCACCTCCATAGGTAACTTTAATACCTCCCTATTAGCCCTCTGTAAAGGTAGAAAGCACACGCTGTGTGCACGAAAGGGAAGGGAAAGGAAGTTTCTTAAGTTGGATATTTCTCCAGTGAGTAGTGTGAAAAGTGTCGTATACGAAGGATTTACCCTAATGTAAAAAAATCCTCTTACCTTTTTATAACATAACCCAAGATACTTCTTAAAACATGTTAAATTGATGTGTTGGGTTTCGATCAGGATGTTTGCTGCTGTGGTGACTTCAGTGTTTTGGCGCTTCTGAACCCTGTGCCACCCTTTACCCTGTGCCACCCTTTACCCTGTGCCACCCTTTACCCTGTGCCACCCTTTACCCTGTGCCACCCTTTACCCTGTGCTCTGGGTGTCCCTGCTGGAGTGGGGGGTTTGGACCAAATCATCTCTAGAGGTCCCTTCCAACCTCAACCATTCTGTGATCCTACGAACTGATCAGAACCTTACCCATAGTTTAAGGTGCACACCAGTAGTTTAACTGCTGCAATACGTTTCATGAGTGCTCTGCAGTAGAGGCAGGCCATAACTTCTAGGAGATACTGTGAACACCTGGTAGGCAGTGGCGTTTTAACTGCTGTAGGCAGCAGTGTAGAGCTTGACTGCACTTTTGGCTACCAGTATAGAAACTTGCCTTGAAAATCAGCAACATCTATAAAAATCAGTGAGCTCTGGAGTTTTAGATTTTAATGCTGGAAGGTTAAAAGGAATACCAGTATAAAATTTTGCTGTAGAAGATYTGTTGAAACTGGGTTCATTATCTGGCCTGTGAATGCCCTGTTAAGTTAAAGTCTATTTGAGAGCCTCTCTTGTGCACTTGATGCGCACAACACAGTAATGTTCAGAAATGTGTAATTGTGTTCTGCAATAATAACTGTTGCCAGTGTAAGTCATTTTCATGTTCTTCCAGGTATTGCTGTTTGAAATGTATTAAAATACAAGTTCATGGCAGCAGTGTGTAGGGAAGGCTGCTACTTCAGCTGTCTTCACACATAGTTCTTATGTGAAAACATGTSAAACATCTCCGTAATTGCCCAGTAATTGAAATTATGCCTTAAAATTAGGCAACGTAGCTTGTTTAGCACTTTTCAATTGAGAAAACTCACATTATCACAGTAATGACAGTAAACTGCAGCACACAAARCTAAGGGTGTGTTTCTCAGCACAGGTGTGTGAAGCGCACAGGGTGTTATCAGGTCTATGCTTTTTTCTGTCACTAGATGGTGCCAAAAGCTGTGAAGTTTCTCGGGTAGAACTTGCTCTGTTCTGCTGTCTTTAAATGTAAGGATTCTGTGTTCTCATGGATGTTCCCTTTGCCACAAAAGTAGAGATTATAGTTTTGCACGCTGTGTGTATGTTCAAAACGTGCACAGGTATCTGAATGAATTAATGAATGCTTTTGTTTCTTCTGAAAAATAAGTGTTAGCTATTTGTAGTAGTCCACGTTAATGCACGGTTGCTATGTGCTTTGTTCAGCCTGTCAGTAGGGAGGAATTTGTCTTGATTTCCTAAAAGTCTTTGATAATGAGTGGGCACCGTAAAGTGCYTGGAATTTTTGTTTTGTTTTTTTCTTTTCCTCCAGAGTAGGAAACTGAAACTAAATTAATGGAAAAGGAAAAACCAGCTATGCAAGGTGGAGCCCAACCACCTTGGAGTCTTTGGGACTAAGGGAGTCCATACAAAAGATGACTTAAATATTTTGTCTGCTTAGACTATGCTTTTAGTTTCCAATATCTTTAAAATGAGGCATTACTTACAGAGAAAGGGATTTATACAAAATGACTATAAAATGCTCTGTGAGATGTATGGGATTTTGTTATAAGTCTATTGCAAACCACGATTGAAATCTGATTTCATAAGTAACTGTGTTAGTCATCATCAACTTTAAGGAAAATCTCATGTGTACACTTAACTGTGTAGTTGCTGTTAATCCCAGTCCATGTAAAGACTTCAAAAATCTATTTCATTTTTGTACAGACAAATTAACATACAGTCTTAAGACAGCAGTGGTTCTCCTGAGAAATCTTAGTCTTAAGATGAATTTGATCAGGTATAGTATTATATCAGGAATTTCACTATGATATGTAAATATTCCCTTATGAAATGTTATTGCAATTTTTTTTTTTTAAGTGAACTCTATACCTTTGTTAACTACCTTTACTCATCACTTTGCGTGCTATTTAAGCTGCCTTTGAAAGGAGGGCTGGTAAATTTTCCTTTTAAATCCATTTTGTGGAAATCTGGATAGATCCAAAGCTGCACAACCTTTCATCTGCTGTCTGTGCTTAATATTGAGGGAGAGCTAGCAGGTTTTGTGTGCAGTGAAACTTTTCTTCCTTGTATCTATCATCTCAATTTGACATTACGACTCTCTCTGGCTTTTCGTTTTATTATTAAAATAATAAAAAACAAACCTCATCGAATGTTCCTGTAAGCAGCTGATTATCCCAGCAGCACAATCCCAGTAAAGCTCATCTACAGTCCAGAGATTTACACTCACCTGAGAAGAGCTGCTAAGGCTTGTGGCTGGCTTTCCTCCACTGTTATTTCTCCATGTATTTTTCCATAATTGAATATATTACTTTACAAATAGCCAAAATTGAACCACTTGAGACCTTATCTCCATCCTATTTTAGCCATGTCCTCTTTCTGACTTTCAAATAAATATTAGAAAATGAATCTTGATACACTTTCTTGATACATTTTCACTTAAAGTGTAGAATTAAAGCTAGAGTGTCAGATCAGGGTAAGTAGAGGATCTTGGTGAAGAACTAAAACCAAATAATCCAGTATATTTCATTATTAAGTTTTGTGGGACATGCTATCAACCCTCACCTTCATGAAGAACTAATAGCAGACCCTTCCTGTGGAAACAGAATCMCAGGATGGTTGAGGTTGGAAGGGACCTCTAGAGMTCATCCAGTCCAACCYCCTGCTCCAGCAGGGACACCCAGAGCACGGGGCACAGGGTGGCAGCCAGGYGGGTTTGGRAGATCTCCAGAGAAGGAGACTCCACAACCTCCCTGGGCAGCCTGTKCCAGGGCTCTGGCACCCTCACAGTGARGAAGTTCCTGCCTGAAGAACTGCCTATGTTTCAACTTACACCCGTTGCCCCTTGTAACAATGGATCTGAATGTAGACACTGCAGTTGTGCTGCACTTTGACCGCTTTCTAAAGTTCTAAACAACTATTTTAATCACAACGTTATGTTGTGTCAATAACTTGCAGATGATCGTGTAACTGGGGTGCATCTCTGCCTTACTGAGTTTAGTTCCCTGCTGTTAAAGGCAATGCTGTCGTGGTTTGCCATCTAAAAATCAACACTTAAACAAGGCTGTGTAGTTTTCAGTCTTTGAAGTGTGGATTTCTTCTCAGTTTTTCTTCCAGCAGCTCAAAAACTRTAAGAGCTGAACAGGATAATGGAGTTTAATGCAGGGGTGTCATTTCAGCCCTTCCTGTAAAACTGATCTTGCTTGGAGCTCAGGCTAAGGCCACTACTAAAAAAAGCACTATAGTTACAGTAATGTTTTTCTTTCCTTTGTGGTCAGAAACAAACATGCCAAGGGGCTGTACTTCATGCAGCAAGATAAGGAATAATTGTTCAGTTGAGGTAAATATAGCTTTGTCCACATTCTTTTTTTCCAAGCATGATGCCACACGGCGGGTACAGGGTTGTACAGAGCAGTTTGCGGGGAGACCCTGTTCAGAGCTTCGTCTCCCTCAGCTTCCTTGGGGTCTCTGCAGTGTTTGCACTTCATCCCGTCTGATTTAAGTGCACTTGTGGTTGGTACAAGCTGCTGCCACTGGAGAGCACAGCACTGTGTGTGTGTAGCCAYGGAGTGATCTGGAGCAGGCCTTGTGCTGAAACGGCCTGGGAAAAGGGTCATAAACTCATCTGCAGAACAGGAAGACAAAGAGGTATTATGCCAAAAAGGGGGGAGTGAATGGAGAACATTATAATATATATTTTATATATATATAAAATATCTGGGGAGAGCTAGTAGGTGTCAACTGCACCTGAGCCTGTGACACTGGGTGGTTCCCGTGTCACATCTCTAACACAAAATTTAGGCATTGACTYATTTCTGATCTTGCATCCTGTCTTTGAGAGGTTTTAGCGAAGCTAAATAATAAAAAATCTTCATCCTCAGAATTAGCTGTGTCCTAAAAGAGTTCTAGCAAAAATGCTGAGATGCCATCCAGCCTCCAACAGCTKTGAAGGAATAAATTCCATAAGGAACTCGCTGCGCCTGTGAGTACTCGTGCGGTCTTCTCTGCCAAGCAGCCCCAACCAGCACTCCGCAGTTGCTCTCGAGAGTCTCATTTCTAAATAGAAAATAGAAACTTCTCTGGTTTGYTACCCCCTCAGCTCTGCCCTTCCTGCAGCTCCCGAGGGAGGCAGAGCCCTGCTTGGAGCAGAGCTGCCCTGCGCCCCRCGGGAGCACGGAGCACCCGGGGGCTCTGCAGCGTCTGCTGCAGTGGGTAGGGAAAATCCCTCTGGAAAACAACATTAATGGGTGTTTTCTTTAGCTGTTGTTGATAGCAAAGAAGGCTGGGCAGTTTCYGCTAGTGTTTTGTCCCTCTGTTTTTAATAACTTTATAGGTGCAAAAACAAGATGTAGTAATTTAAAACGCCCAAGACTGTTCCTACCATTTCTTTTAATTATAGTGTAGTCTTTGCTGCCTTCCAGTTCTCTGGAATGGCAGCTGACTTGAGGCTGTAGTGCCGTTAGCTACCAGTTTTATGGCAGCCTGCAGTGGAGGAGATGTAGATCTGGTGCCTGCCCTGTGTCCCATTTCACTGCTGTTTGCTTCTCCATGCTACCAGGAGAGAAAATGGGAAATCCTGTTTACATGTTGTGAGAAGTGTTGCAGACATTTCTTGTCTGTAATCCACAGAAAGATGTAAAATCCATCTCTAATACTGGGGATAATGTTCTGTATCAAGTGCCTCTGCTGTCTGTGATTCCTTATTTAGCAGCGTGGGGGCAGTAACTGATGCTGGAATCCGAATGCTGCATTTAGAGCAGTGCTTGCAAGGGCAAAACTGGTCTGTTTGTGTTGATAACTTCAACTACTGCAGTTTTACTGAAGCTCCGTGGACGCAGGAGCAAGAAGGAGTTTTGCCTTTCGCTGTGTTTTGATGAGGCCTTGCAGGGCTGGCCCTGAAGCCGTGCCTCRCCGTTAGGCTGTGTGCCCTTTTCTTGAGATGGTCACACTGGCAGCTGATTGCACCTCATCTCAACATTTGTTTGTGAAAAGCACTCTGATCGTACATATATTTTCATAAGTTAAACTGGCAGTTCTGGAGAGGTACATTTGCATTGGTAATCCTGCTTAGTCTACTGTGTATATGTATGTGTGTGTATATTTATGSTAAGTTAGTGTGGTACAGCAGGGGATGGGATGTCTTTCATGGGAGTATTCCCCTCACCTGATGTGTTAATTGAAAACCTTAGTAGTTGTAGGTAGCTTCATAGTTGCAGTGAAGTGTTTGACACTGAGGTCCTTGGTTGGCATCAGCCCTCACGTTTATCCCACTGTTTCCATGTGCCCCAGCCGTGAGCTCTGCAGCTGGAAACTGAAGGTCCCCCGGGAGCCCCCGGCTTTGGCAGGGACCGTGGTTGGAGTCACCAGCAGCACTGAGGAGACTTGAGAGGGTTTTAACTGGGCCACGTCCAGCTGGTACTTGGAGCCTACAGAGGAAGGGGCAGGCCTAGTTAGGCCACATGAGAGGCATCTTCCCTCCTCCTGCTCTTTCATCAAAGAGCAACCCTTGTAACACATTTAAAAGGCTGTGGAGAACRTTGTTGGTGTGAAATGGATGTTACACGTTCGCTTTGAGATCTGTGAACATTTCAGTCGCTAAAGAAGCTACTGCAGCTGGTGCGTGTGGGCAGTGGGATGTGTTTTGTGTTGCCTCTAGTGCAGAGCTTTAGTTAGGCCCCGCTCAGAAGCTTGTGAACAGCGCAAGAACTAGGGCTGAGTCTTGATATTGGAATTCCTAAACAGTCTTCTGACATCCCTACTCGGTTTTGCCTTAAATTCCTCAGTATTAATTTTAATTGGTCCCTGGAGAAGTTGTAAGATGTGAGGTAGATTGCTGCAGATGATAGAGAAGTTTAAAGATGCCGTAATGTTTCTTCCAGAGTTGAATACTGTATAATTTATCCTCTTTTCTCATGAGGGTGAAGAAAATCTGTTAATCTTTTTACAATTTTAATATAATAAATATGTAAATGCTAAAGCTAGAATTTAACAGGGTGGGGTTTTTTTGAACATCAAAGCCAAGCAGAGTAGAAGTGTGGGCTAGAGTGACATTTTATTAGCAATCCTAAGCTCTTCAAAGTGTRTCTGCTTCTGACCTTGTTCTACTTATCCACAAGTGTCAAACAGTTTGGAAGGTCTGAGCTAGGAATTAAAGCTCTCTGTGCGGGTGTTTGCAGATAAATAAAGTTTATCTTTCCTTACAACTGGATGAGAAAAAATACGACAGGGGAGTGATCCGGCATTTCTTAGTTTCATTAAATTTTTAAATTTTAATTTCAGGAACAAGAGCAAAAGGCTGAGGAGGAGAGGATTCGAATGGAGAACATTCTGAGCGGGAACCCGCTGCTGAACCTGACGGGCCCCGCGCAGCCCCAGGCCAACTTCAAAGTGAAGAGGAGGTGGGTGGCGGGGGGGGGTGCCCCCCACCCCGTTTGGGGACGTCCCCGAGTCCCCTTTTGGTGCTGTGAGAACCTAGACATGTCACCAGAACCTAGACATGTCACCACCGCCTGTGGCTTCAGCTCTTCAACATTCAGCCCTTTCTTTAGGGCAACTGGAAGTAACAGTTAGCCCTTTCTGACAAAGGTTCTTGTTGAGAGATATCACAGTCCCTATTGTGTTTAGCTAACTTTTAGGGCCATTATTCTCTGTAAAGTTAAAACCTTTATTCTCTCACATTCTTTTCACCTCTTTCTTTCTCATTCACAAACATGTAGAAGGTAACTGGGGTGAAAACTTCTCTTTTTTTTTGACCAAAATCTGATCTGTGTGACTAGTTATTCCTAATACATCTGAATAGGAAGGCCCAGCCATGTTTAAATAGATCTGTAAATGGCAGCTAATTAAAAAAAAATAATAATAAATGGCGTTTAAACATACTAAAACTAAAAATTMTTTTCTTTCCAGATGGGATGATGACGTTGTCTTCAAGAATTGTGCCAAGGGAATAGATGAAACAAAAAAGGACAAAAGATTTGTGAATGATACCCTGCGATCAGAATTTCACAAAAAGTTCATGGAGAAATATATCAAGTAGTACAGTTTTATGTGCTTTGCTGCTGAAGGACTTGGAAGGTCGGAGTTGTTTCTCCCTCTCCCTCAGAATTCATGGCTGTAGTCATGAATTCCCAAATGATTTTCCAAGATCATCAACGGCTTCATAATTAATTGCTGTGTTTGTCTGAGGTGTTTTATTCTTTCAGTAAGCTTTCCCTTTTGATTTTAATTAAACCTTTGTGTTTCCTGAACGTTTTTGTTGTTGGTATGAGTTTGCTTTTAACAGCCTTCATGTAAATGGTACAAGAGAGAATCTGGTTTGCAGTAAATACTTCCAGCTGTTTTMATTGTTTTCCAAAACAATCAGTATTTGTAATTCTGGTGGTTTGTAACTCATGCAAATTATATAAAGGTGAATATTACCAAGATAGGGAATAGCAGAGTATGACAAATTGTWTGACCTGAGAAAACCTGCAGTTTCTGTGCTAAACTGGACTTGTCTCTCTTTTACAGCTAGTCRGAAAGTTAATGGTCTTCCTCTCTAGTTGCTTCTTTCTCAGCAACCAAGTTGCGCTTTGGTGAGTTGAATTTCTGACCAAGAATTTGGAGTCAACCTCTGGAGCTCTTGCCTGGCTCTGAGGAGATGCAGGGTGATGTGTGGGAAAGCCCCACACCGAGTGGGGAGTGCTGCTCTCTGGAACCAGGGAGGGTTTCTYCCTCTTTGAAACCCACTCTGGTGCCAGCCCACCAGCCACAACCACRAGGCAGTAACGCTCTGCCTGTTGGAGTTTGTTTCAGGGCTAGAAACTCAGAGTCTGCTCATGAGGGCTTTTATTAAATGGTTTTTCTCCTCAAGATACTGCAGTACACTTCAGTTTCTCTTCTAAAATGTCCATTTTAACACATAATAGGATAATATGAAATATCGAAAAAATGGGGTTATTGTGTTGTACCCATCTGCTCCAACACTTTCCCAGGACCTCTGGTCCGTGTGACAGGCAGCTGCCAACAGAACCAGCGCCCAGCTGCTGCAGGAGGCAACGTGGAAGAAAGTCAGGTCGGTGCTTCCAGGAACGTAACGACCTTGATTGCAAACAGTGTGAAATGGTTCCTCCTCCTGTGCTGGTGTTGTTTCTGTGCTTGATGTTACCTTAACAGCAGTTTCCCCATTTTTCAAGGTTATCCTTGGTGTATCCTCAGCATCACAGTAGCCTTTGCACTGGAAAACAGGACCGTCTGTATGGAGTAAGAGGTAAACTTCTTTCAAAAAAGAAGGCTTTTTTACAAAGCACCATCTCAAAATTATATTTGGAGCCCAATATAGTTATGAAGGGTTAGCAGTGCTAGGAATAAGAGCTTAATGACAGCCTTGCATCACTAACCTTGCCTGAAAAKGACTGTGCTTTAACTGCGTTGCATAAACAATAAATATTTTACCATCTATTTTTCTTAAGTAAGTGTGTGAATGTTAAAGGTTTCATATTGCCCTCATCAAATGASGTGCCTGGCCCGGCTTTCATTCAATCCCAGGTTCCATGTAAGCATCCTGTAAATGGGAAGAAGATGCCAGGAGCGGGAGGGAGGAGCAGCGGTGCTGGGGATGGCGCCGGCCGGGCCAGCCCTGCCCCTGCCACGTCCCAGCAACTGCTCCACTCTCTTTATATCGGCCTTTAAGAGCCTCAAACACCAAGAACTGGAGGCTGAATGTGGCTGAATGGGCCGGGGCTGTTGCAGCCCTTGGAGTCCTCCTGAAGGGATTTGCTGATGCCTGGGAATGCTGCAGCCTCCGGGGGCAGGTTCCTGGCAGCAGCCGTGACTGCCCAGAGGACTCCTGGTGCTCCAAGGAAAGTCCCTCACGTGTTGCACTTCCTTGGTTCCTGGTGCTCTGCACTACAAAGACGGGGAGAGAAGGAAAATACAGAACTACTCTGCATGAAAGTCCTCCTTCCATTTATTTACTTTTTTAAAAGCTTCTAAGTTCTTAAAATGAAACTGGCATCTGTTGGTCTAGAACAAGATTTCCTGCTAAATTTGTCTGTCGTTCTTGGGAAGATTTTTTTGGACTACTTTTCCCAAAGAAATAGTATCCGCTTTGCTTTTAGACTGCATTTTTCCTAGGCAGACCRACAGCTTTTAATAGTTATCCTTTTAGCCATGAAAGCACTAACATACTTGTTCTCCCCCAAGATAACAGTATAAATAGGCACTTTTGGCACCTCTGAGCCCTTTTGGGAAGGGGAGATAGGAGAAAGAGTGATGTTGCTATAGATGTCAGAATTACTTGTTACTGTGTTTTTGTTTTTTAATAAAAAGCTGCTGCATTTTTCAGTTGCTCAGTCGCACACACACTTTGCCTCTGACTTCTGTGAATTGCAGACTTTCCTTCCTGTGTTTTCCTTTCCAAGGGGGACAGTTCAAGGGCTGTGACAGAAGAAAGTTGCCTGTGATCTGTGCCTGACAGGAAAACGAGGCTGGAGATTAAATAGAGACTAGGGGCTAGTTTTTAAAATTGCTTCGGTTCAGAGCACTGGAATATGCTTAAAGGGTATGATAAAAGTCTGTATGTGCAGTAGGGTTTTTCTTTTTTTTTCCTCTCATAACTTCTGATCAGAAGTTTAATGTCACTGATCTTACTGAAGTTTTATCTTTAAAGCAGAAACTGTAGCTTGGTGATGGAGAACTTCTGTAACTCCAACCAAAAGGCAGATTTATCTAAACTTAGACAAGCTAAATCTCCTCTGCAGACATCAACTTCCCACAAGGACTAAGAAAGGAAGCACGTATAGAGCTTCCAGGTGAAGCAAGGGCACTGTTCATGAGGTTCAGTAATGAAACCAAGAAACCCAGTGAGTCCAATTGCTCCCCGTTGGAACCAACAGCATCTGAATAGCAGGAGATGGTTTATGCTAACTTGTTCTGTTACACAATTTTATAGCTCACATCAGGAACCTGTTATGACAGGTGTTATAAACCAGGCTTATATGGTGAAGAGCCTAAATGCTCAGAAATGAAGGTGATCAGTAGTCAGCATGGATTCACTAAGGGGAAGTCATGTCTGATGAACCTAATAACCTTCTATGATGGGATGGCTGGCCGGCTGGACGAGGGGAGAGCCGTGGATGTTGTCTACCTTGACTTCAAGCAAGGCTTTCGACATCATCTCCCATAACATCCACATTGGAAAGCTCCAGAAGTGTGGACTGGACAGGTGGACAGTGAATTGGATGGAGAACTGGCTGGATGGCAGAGCTCAGAGGGTGGTGATAAATGGGGTTGAGTCCAGCGACCCTGCGATTCTGGCTGACACCCTGTGCCCCGTGCTCTGGGTGTCCCTGCTGGAGCAGGGGGTTGGACTCGATGATCTCTAGAGSTCCCTTCCCACYTCAACCACTCTKTGATTCTGTGATTCTGTGAAAGGTGGGTGAAGGGCGGGGGTGAGACGCACTGCAGCACCACAGAAGCTTGTGTTGGAGCTAGCTGCTAAGTTCTTCTCGGTACCTGCCCCTGCCTGATCTAAAGCCCTGTCCCTCTTTCCTACCCTTAGAGATATTCTCATTAAGAAATTAGACTACTTATTTTCACCTGGCTATTTCAGCGGGCAGGATTGCAGGAGGCAGCCGTCCTGCCGTGGGAAAGGTCTGTTCTTCCTGTGCTGCAGAACTCGCTCACGGAAGCTCGGTCAGAGCTGGGTAAGGACAGGGGCATGTCTGTCATTCCGGCAGGGGCTCCGATCCCATCTCCACAGCCCCGTTGGGCRGCCGGGTTGCACCTGCGGCAGGTCGGGGCTCGGGGCTGGCTCGATGCTGCGGCTGGTTGTGCTGCCCGGGCACCGCGTGTGAACCTGCCTGGGGGTCRTGTCCATCCTGCAAGCAGGATCCTGGGTATTTTCCTTCCAGGGTGAATCAGCTCCCCGAAGGAGAAGTTCTCCCTCTGGGATCATCATGTGTCCAGGACCTGGTGCACCCTCAACGTCCTACATCTTCCTGGGTTCCCACCTAGATGGGCCGTTGGGAACATGGATTTCTGTCAATGTGCTGGCCTGAGTTTGTCGTTCTGGTACGGACCAATGTCACTCGAATGCCACAATGCTGCCTTGGGGGCAGGAGGACGATGGGCTTGAATAGGACCAGCCACAACCTAATTCTTGACCCAGCCTGCAAGGTGTGATATTGCTGTGTGCTCTTGGCCAGGCCTCGGGCCAGGGTGCGACATTCTCTCTTCTCCCGTTTTTAAGAACATTATGTGCTGGAGATGTAACCCAGGCCAGCCTAAAGCCAAGGACAACTGGGGCTCCTGGCATTTGTCAGAGAAGCAGAAGTTGGGTCTTCTGATTCCTTTTATTGCCTTCTCCTGATGGAGTGAACAGTCACTAACAGCTCAGAGATGCCTCTTCCAAGCCAACCTGTCCCAGCAAAACCTTTCCCCCGTTTCCCGCCATGGATTCATCAGGTTGCCCATTGGATTCATCAGGTTGCCCATTGCAAGGTTCATGGATTCATCAGGTTGCCCATTGCAAGACCAGTTGTAGGGGGCAAAGAGCAGTTTGTTTTGGAGGGTAACACTCTGCCGGGGCATCTTTCTGGTTAATATCAAATTAATATCAAATGGAAGCACATGTGAGCTGGTGATGATGATGATGAATCGTGTTCTCTGAGAGCTTTAGAAATTATTCATATCTATTGACACCTGTACCTTTTCTTACCTGGGTCCTCCTTTAAATTATATACGCTTTCCAAAATATAAGCTTCTTCAAAACATCTTTTCTCTTTTCCAATATACACAGTGAGAAAAGGAATATTTTTTAAAGAATCCTAGAGCCAAAGAATGACAACAATAACAACAAAAGAACTAATAACATCTTTTTTATGTAATAACTCTCTTTGCTGTTCGTTCCAGTAACGAATACAGTAAGTGCTGCTATGTAGGCGTTGGAGCGGGAGCCGGTAATCAGGACTCCTGGCATCTATTTTCGGCCACTACCCCAGGATAATGGCCTGGTTTTAATTCCCCGCGGTTGCCTCACGCTGCAGAATTCCTTATCTGCGGAGCCGGGGATGTTCCCGTCTCACGAGCCCCCGCTGGCTGCTCCACAAAGTGGGGCCGGTCCTGCCCTGCCCAGGGTGCCGGTGTCCCCGTAAATGGCTGCACAGCTCAAGGGCGAGAGAGCTGGCAAGGGGCTGAGCCCCACGCGACGCTGCCCATCTGGAGCTGCTCAGATGTTGAGCGAGAGGGAGCCACCAAGGGCTGGAGGTGGAACAAGAGTGGAGAGCGCTCATCTTCAGGCTCTCTTGCTGTTCTGCTCTTTTCCTGATGTTCCCCTTTGCTGAATCGCTCAGTGGTAACTGCAGAGCACAGAAGCTGGACCTCGCACGAGACCACTAAGTTATGGCCTTTGGCACTGAGATTTTATTAAAATTACATGTTGTCAAAGGCCACGCTTTGGTCAATTAGCAGTGATCTGTCACAAGATCCTRTATCYGCAATTCCATTCTTTCCAAACACAAAGCTTTAACAAACTGCGGATTAGAGGTGGCAGCACTTAYGGATAAAGTCTTCTCCTATTGCCACAGACTGGCTGGCTGGCTCCTCCTTGGGTTTTGCTGGTTTGGAGCAGGGTTGTTTTGCTATTTCATCCCTTTTTCTCCCCAATGCTTTGCTTCTTGCCAAGAATATCAAATCTGAGCRTGGGGACGAGTGTGTTACCAGAAAACAGAGATGCCTCGAGGCGTCTTGGTGCAAGGGGCTGTGATTTGACAGAAGACCTGGAGGGYGTTTGGACTGTGTCTAATTGGAGACAGACACAGCATAAAGCTAATGGAAGGAGAAAGCTTTWAAAAAGTGGTGAAAAGAARTGAAAAAAAAAAAAAGACACCCCTTGTTGTCAATGGGGACCGTGCTAGCGAGGAGGAGATGGCCCCAAGCCCTGTCAGCCCCACACAGCCCCTTACCCCAAAGCCCTGGGGCTGCTGGACGCACCTGTGGGACCGGTGCTGAYGCGGATGGGGGCACTCGTGTAACCGCTCAACGGGTCTGAGCTGCAGGGGTGACAGCTCCGCAACGGGGAGCAGACGGACCCGTCTGCGCCCGTGCGTGACAGCGCAACAAGAGGATTGTTCCAGCTGCTGYGGAAGGTCCGTTTCGCAGTTTCACGTTATATCATTGGGCTTTTGACAACCAGCTCATGGTCCTGTCAGCAGATCTTCCAAAGCACTCAACGTCTGCAGTAAAATGCAAGAGCACTTTGGAAACTGTGGTCAGTTAAGCAGCAYCTGGAAGGGAGTGGGGAGGTTTTGAAGATCTGATTTCTGTCCCTACATGTCCCAAAACTGGGAGCCTGGGTAA